ATCTTGCATTGCCATGTGGATCTGTTTAAATCTTTAATATGATATGAATTTATCAGTAAAGATGTTATAATTACCTAATTTAATATCATTTAAAGGGTTTTTACCTAAATATTTAGTGGCTTTACTCATGTATACCTGGTAAGTGTTCAGTTTGCTTTAATTTGTGGACTGTTAATGGACTTGTTAGTCTAAAAACGCTGTCCGATGTAGCCCGGTTATTAAAAAAAATATATATATATATATATATATATATATATATATATATATATATATATATATATATATATATATATATATATATATATATATATATATATATATATATATATATATATATATATATATATATATATATATATATATATATATATATATATATATATATATATATATATATATATATATATATATATATATATATATATATATATATATATATATATATATATATATATATATATATATATATATATATATATATATATATATATATATATATATATGTTATGGACCATATGATTAATTGGTCATTTTTCATAATGCCCGGGCTATAAAAAAAATGCCCAATACTGTTGGTCAATATAATAAATACTATTAAATTCATCACATTGCCCGGGCAATGTAGGTAGTAGATGCTTGGCATCTACTAGACAGGATGATTAAAACTACTTTTATTTTTATTAAATATGAAATATATTTATTTTGATACAATCAAGTATATAGTAAAAACTAAAATATTTCTTACATACTAATGAAAACAGTCTTGCAGTCTTCTGTGAAATCGCACATGAGTACATTTAATGAATAAGTATACATAAAACATATAATACGTACTAACGGTAATTGAGGAAACCAAAAAAAGATTTCTGTGTTTTTATTTGCATTTTTTTCTAATGACCGAAATCGATGGTAACACACAAAGCGGCCAGTGAGAAATTAAATCGTTTTTCTTCTAAATCAAACTCAATTTTAAATAAAAATACACTTACCACCTTTGCGTGCTACATCGTCGAAATTTATTTTGTATGAATGATTTACAATACATAACTATTTGTTGAAACATGTTCCACTATGGGCACACTTATTTTTTACGGTTACATATTTTTTTTTCTTTACGACACTTACACTTATCGGATTTACACCCATCTTTACAACCGCACCTACTGTATCCTTGTCTCCCACAGTTAGAAGATTTTCTTGCGCATTCTCTAAGAGATATCTCAGTGTCTGAAATCTCTTCTATGGAGATTAACTTTTCTTTACAAACGGTAAACTGGTTTATTGAATATAACTGATTTAGTATGCTATATTTTGTGCCTAGTTTGTAAAGCTTTTTTTCAGTTATCTCTGTCACGATAGCTAGTAGATTTCTTTGATCACTACGAGCTCGGTCCACATCTGGCACTCGTATCCTAACTGTGTTACCTAGTTTAGCCGATGGATATTTGAAATGGAAAATTTTAACATCTTCTCGGCTTGTTGTTCTAGATTCTTCAAAGCCAATTTTCTTTTCTTCCTTACATCGTTTATTCTAATATCTGTATTGGAATCCAGATTTTCATTATTTTCTAAATTAACTACAATAGCCGTTTCTACCGCATTTGTTAAAAATTCTGGAACTTGACTAGATTGGCGAGATGAATTTTCATCAATTAAAATTGCTCCGATTTTTTGAACGTCCAGGGTGTAGCCAGATGATATGGAACTTGATTCGGGCAACATTATTGAAAAGTCCACATTTATATGCGCAGCCTCTTGATTTTTGAACAGGACCTCTAAGTCTTCCTCCGAATTAACATCAGTCAGAATTCCTTGGGGTAGAGAGCTTTTTAAACCAACTTTCAACTTTGTGCCGAACATGGCTTCATATGGACTACAACCTATACCAGTGTGATGAGCTCTATTTTTCATTAGTTGAACAAAACGTAAGCCTTCAGACCATTTGTTTGTATTGTTGTCTTTCAACCACGAACTAAGCATATTCTCTACGTCTTGATTGGCCCTTTCTATAGATCCTTAACTCTGAGAATGCCTGGGTTTGCCATGTACCATTTTTAACTCGGGCCACATGCTACACAGCTCTTTGATAATATGGTTAGCGAATTCTCTGCCATTATCACTATGAAGCACACTCGGTGCCCCAAATATTGTGAAAATATCCAAAAGTACATGCGATACTTCTTCTGCTCTTTTACTTGTAAGGGGTCGAAGTTGGACAAATTTGGTAAGATGGTCTTGATAATCAAGCACAAATTTATAACAGCCATCGGCTTGTGACTGCATATCGATTAAATTGACTTGGCATCTTGAATTCATTTCCTTGCTTAATATTGGTTTCACCACCAAGCCTTTCTTTGGAACAGTATGTTTTTTCTGAGAGGTCATGCATAAATTTAAATAGATAACAATCATCTCGCTTGTAATATTTTTAAATTTAGAATGTACTTCCTTCTCCATTTGGTTTCTACCACCATGCCCGATAGTAATATGAAGATCACGCAATGTATCAAATATTTCTTCTGTATGGACGTAGTATTTAATTACGTTATCTTCTTTCACAGGAACAATAAATTTTTCTACTTCTCTAATCGTCATAGCGTCGAATCTTCGTAGGCGCTGATAATCACTCGGCGTTTTATTTGTCTGTTTACTTTTAGAGTTTTTTACCTTATGTATCTTTTCCATGTAGGCTTGGCCATGTTTTTGTGAAAATTTGTGAATTTTGACTTTTTGCTGAAATGAATTAAGTTAACCGATTGTTAAATCGATTTTTCATATCACTTAATGGTTCTTCTTTTTCCATAGTTCACTATGCAATACTTTATAAACAAAGAATTAACAAAGACATGTCAAAAACAAACCACTTGTCGTATATACCATTACTAACATTCAACTGCAATATGATTTATAAATAATGGCCGACGCGCTTCGGTGACTGTAACCTTGGATAGAGCGCGTTGATTCGCTGCTGAAGATCGCATGATTTACTAAGAACGCCGATTTATCACATTGCCCGGCCATAGTATAGCATTTTTCATAATGACCGGGCATTATACATAATGGCTAACATAATCACTTTGTCCATAACATATATACTATATATATATATATATATATATATATATATATATATATATATATATATATATATATATATATATATATATATATATATATACATATATATATATATAAATATATATATATATATATATATATATATATGTATATATATATATGTATATATATACTGTATATATATATATATATATATATATATATATATATATATATATATATAAGATAGGTCCCTCAAGGCTCCTATATAGACGAGTCCCTCAAAGCTCGATTTATATCGCTTTGTCGTAAGTGTTGAGGATAATACTTAAGAATCTTTGGAATATAACAGAATTCGCGGGTTCAGTGGGTTTTAAAAACAAAATATAACGCTAAATACAGGCGCTAAATTGTCATTTCTTAAAGTAGCAGCATTTGAAAAACATTACCTGTGTTCTATTTTCACAAGATTGTATGTATAAAATTTATAATCTGCGAATGGGCAACAATTAGGTGTTCACATGTTATCAGATATAATAACCTTAATAATACAGCCGAATGAATTTGCATTATACCTAAAAGATGAGAATCGGCTCAATATATGAATAGTTTTTTTTCTTATTTAGGCTACATCGGAGCCTGAATTCTAGGAGCCTTCCACGCTCTTCTTACTAGTATTGCTGCTGCTATAAAAATAACCATTACACTTTTTCGTCTTAATATAAAATTTGACTGATTAATAATTGTCAAAATAGGTGTTGACTGTAACAATCTCTCTGTAACAGCTTATACTGTAACAATCAATTGTGTTAATTTGATGGATGATGTAACTCGTATTTGCTTACCATGATTTACCTAAATCATCAACAAAATATTTAAAAGAAATTATTCAAAATTGCATAACATTCTTATGGAAAATACTTCTCGCACGCTCGTGATTGAGCCTTTCCAGTAATCCCAGATGAGTAAATGTTAAAGGTCGAAGAATGAGAAAAGGGCCTCGGCGGAGCAACAATTTTACGACTGATGGATAAAAGAATCTTTTTATAGACACGATGAATGCGAAACATGGCGGCGCATCATTTATGTACGAGGTGGCTTTTTAATAGGGCATTCCAGGGTATCTTTCTTTGTTAAGAGAAATATTTTTTAGTCTGTTGGCTAATTTTTATTTAATGTCTAGAAATATTACATTTTTATTTATTTCTAAATACAATTTGTAATTCATAGGTTCTGACACTGTTTTTTTATGGACTGTCTAAGTTAAATATTACGCTTCTATTGGATTAAGCCACAATTAATTGTAATAAAAATTACATTTTTAAATAATATTCTACGTTTCGATTTCCACTTCGGAAATCGTTTCCAAAAAAAGATTGTTTTAAACATTCTGGGAAAATGTTTAACCTCAAGTTGTTAATAAGTTATGTTTCTAAAAATTGATGGTTGACATACTTGGCCTGGATCTTCGAAAATTCTGCGAGTGGTGTTTAAAAAATTATAAACGTTTTGTGTTATTTTTTATATTATTGGTTTATGTGTTAATGTGTGTGTGTTTGTATGCTTACGTAGATTATGTTTGTGTATTGTGTATAATTGTAAACGATGTGTTTAAGACTTCCTTTAATCGGCTATTGTTGGTATGTTTTTCTTGTTAACTTCTTCTTTTAGTATTCGCAACCAGAGCCTGCATAATCTGCTGATGGGTTTGCTATACATGTTTCTTCATTAAGTAGGATCAGGGCTGCTCTTTTGATTTTTCTCAATTTATGTCTGTTTCTTTCACCGGTATTGATGCATCTGTTCATTGTAAGTCATATATCATTATAACAGATCACGGCTGCGATGTCCTACACTTTTTAATACCTTTAAAATAATTATTATTGCAAGAATAATATATTAAATGCTTTGAATACTCTAGAAATAATATTTTTCTTTTGTAGAATATGCCACCGTAGGTTACATGGCGAAACGAATACAGATGCGAAAAAATAGATTTTTGGCGATACAAAAAATTGCTGAACAGAAAAAATTGAACGTAGATGGCGGACCCGATGATCATGCACCAAAGCAAACAGTGAGTAGTCGTCTAGTTGGCAGTATATTCTAAAACCTTAAATTTTTTTTTATTTTTATTCTGGTTTAAGTATAAAGTGCAACTGAACATGCATTGCTGTAGCTGAATGATACACTAAATATTTGCTGCTCCTTAAGAGAACATCCTATATATTATTATCTTAAGATTCTACATAAAATTTTGAATTTATCAAAATCTATATTTTTGCAGTTCATCCTTTTTAAATTGTGAGAGATGGGGACACGATTTTGATCATTAAAAGCTTGTGTAGTTTATAAGCTAACTAGTTTAAAGAACCGGCTCGGATACGTGAACTAAATGAACTAGTTCGCTAAAGCTGACGTAACGGCTTAGTCGCAGTTTTTCTTCTAAGAATTATAATTACTATATTTTTGTCGTCTTCAAAGTTTACGTTGAGTTTTAGATGTAACTGTACCTTAGTATAGTATAGTATTAGTATATTCTGAAGAGAGAAAAACCAAAGAAACAGAAAGAATGGATAAGTGACGAAATTTTGGTATTGATGAATTCTCGAAGACTATCGAAAGGTAAAAGTGAAGAAATTAACACAGAAATCAAAAGAAAAATCCGCGACGCTAAAAAACAATGGTTACAAGACAAATGTAAGGAGATTGAAAACTTGGAAGCCAAATATGATTCGTTCTATCTTCACAAGAAAGTTAAAGAAATTATCAACAATAGAAACAGGAAGCAGACAGTACTTATAGATCAACAGTGGAATATGATAATGGAAACACAGGAGAAACTAAAACATTGGCAGACATACATAGAAGAACTGTTTGACGATCAAAGGCAGCCTCCTTGTGATAATTTTTCAGAGGAGATAGGTCCAGAAATAAGCATAGAAGAAGTAATGCAAGCGGTGAAGTCATCAAAGAATAGCAAATCTCCAGGACCAGATGAGCTACCAGTGGATATACTAAAGTTGATAGACGAAGATTAAATCTATTTGTTATATCTTATATAAGATATCGGAGAAACTCAGTTTGAATTCCGGCAGGGATATGGAACTCGCGAAGCAATATTTACCTTTAACATCTTGACACAGAGGTGTTTGGATGTGAATCAAGATGTATTTGCTTGTTTTATTGATTACAACAAGGTGTTTGATAACGTCAAGTATGACCAACTTTTAGACATCTTGAAAGCTAAACAGTTAGACACTCGCGATATAAGAATAATATCTACTCTGTATTATAATCAGAGGGCAGTTGCACGCATCAAAAATAGCACAACAAATGAAATTCAAATTAAAAAAGGAGTTAGACAAGGGTGTGTGCTGTCACCAATGCTATTTAATCTCTATTCTGAAGAAATTATACAGAAATCATTGGAGAAAAAAGAGATTGGGATAAAAGTTAACGGCCAACCAATTAATAATATTAGATACTCAGATGATACGGTTTTAATAAGAGAAACAGTAGAATACCTGCAAGCCATTTTAAACAAGGTAGTCACAACTAGTGAAAAGAAAGGGTTAACAATGAATGTCAAGAAGACGAAGTTTATGATTATTTCAAAAAAACAAAGATTGAATGCAAACCTATACATTCACAATAACGAAATCGAACGGGTGAACAAATATAAATAATTGGAAACAAGTGTTAATAACAACAAGACATCACAGACGAAATAAAAATCAGAATTGGAAAGGCTCGAGCTGCTTTTGTTAATATGAAGGACATTCTGGGAAGTCGTGACATTAACCTAAACCTGAAAATGAGATTGGTTAGATGCTACATCTTTTCGATACTACTGTACGAAGTAGAGACTTTGACTTTAAACAAGGGTAATATCGATAAACTAGAGGCCTTCGAAATGTGGATATATAGAATACTTTTGAAAATACCTTGGACAGACAAAATAGCAATAGTGTAGTTCTTCGAAGAATGAAAAAAGAACGGGAGCTGTTGATCACCATCAAGATAAGAAAGCTGGAATATCTTGGTCATGTGATGAGAGGAAAAAGGTACCGATTGCTCCAGTTAATTATTCAAGAAAAGATTCAGACAAACCAAGCGTGGGGAGACGACGTATATCTTGGCTGCACAATTTAAAAGACTGGTTCCAGTGCACATCTTTAAATTAATTATTTAAAGCAACAGCTTCAAAGTTACGAATAGCAATGATGATTGCCAAACTTCGTAACGGAGAGAGCACTTGAAGAAGAAGAAGAAGTACCTTAGTTTATTTTCGTTACTTTTAGCTAGTAGATATTTGCAGTTTAGTTTATTTTTATTATTCAACCTTTTTTACTTTTTCTGATACATTTTTTTTTTGATATTTTTAAAATTTTTTAAAATTTATTTTTATTTATACCTTTTTTATAATTCTACGTCTCTGATATGTTTTTGCTTTTAATTATATAAATATTAAATTTTCTAAAGTAAAAATACTTAACAATATATAGTGTTAAACTTTGTTATGTTTAAACTTTGTTTAAACATTCAACCTTATATTGATATATTATATTGTTGTGATTTGCTTATAATTGTAAATCTACTTCTATAGTCTGAAATGTAATAAATTTATCTTTATCAAACAAATCAAAAGCAAAGAATATCTCAGGGCTTAAAATAATTTTTATCTTTTTTTTCATTAAAAACGTGGCTTCAAAGTATCTTCTGCTAGTTCCATTTAAGAAAGATCAACAAAAAGGAAAAAAAATAATAGACATTCAATTCTGATATTAAAACAATTGTCCTTTATTTTAAAATATATCCAATTGCATTATAAATAGAATAAAAAAAATCAATTATCCATCACACAAATCACACATCCCTCAATGATTAATTAAAATTAAATACACATATTTCTAAATCAAATATCTCTTAATATAAAAATTTTAGAAAGAATTATTGGTTCCTTGACTTCTTGCCTTAACTATAAAAATATTGCAAATTACAAACAATTGACATGAATGTTGATAGATGGTCGTAATAAAATGTCTTTATAGAATTTATTTAAAACTCAAAACTTTGGTTTTCAAATAGAGAATCTTCCCTTGATTCAGCTTGGATTGTGCCCTGACCAGATCGCAATGTACTTCCCGGATCCTACCAATTTAACTGCTTGCTATTCCGTCTACTGTTTCTTTTGATAATAGAAGAAAAAGACAAACAGTATGTGAAAATGTCCTGATGTTTTTACCACAAGCTCCAAACTCCAAGACAAACAAACTGCTTCCTCTCAGTCACAACGAAAATATATCCGTTTGTACTTACAGTAATGCCTCTATTTCTACTGGAACTCGTCTCTGCTTACCACAATGGCTGCTTGATTTTCCACACAAACACTAAGCACTACTTCTTATATATTCTCAAAAAAAATGTTTTTACCGGAACCGGTCTCTCTCGATGTTTCACTCACAATGTCTTTCTTTTCTCTCATTTCATTCCCGACAAGCTTTTCACCCCCTTCTTCTTTATCCATCCCAAACCAATCCAAACAAACCTCCCCTCTCATCAAACGCATCATCGGTTTCTTAGTCCATTAAATTTTTGGTTTTTCCAAAAATTACCTGACGTTAAAATACATATCTGCAAACCACCTTGAATTCTTTTTTTAACTTTTGTAAAGAAAAAACTCGTTAACCAGTAATCCTTACTTATTACTTTCTAATCTATTATAAGCGCAAATTTCCAATAGTTGTGTACTAAATCTACCTGGTCATGTCCAAACCGTATTGTCTTTTTATCAGAGAAAACTTTCTAGATAACTTATTTACATATTCGGAAACCACTCACGTTGTTCCCGGTAAATGGTTTATGATTTTACAACTAAACCATTTCTATATACAGGGTGTTCTCAATTTTTTTTAATGGTCTTGTGATTTTAATTTTATTTAAAATTTCTTAAATCCTTCAAATTCAAATTCCTTAAATCAAAAATTTTATTTCTTCTTAAAAAACCTTTTCATTTTCTATTCATGATATTTGTATACATCGTGAATATTGAAAATTCCTCTGATTCTTTCAGAGTCCATATGTCTCAGGACATAACTATTTACACCGTTTTCATTATTTATGATATATGGACCCTCAAACACCGGCATTAGCTTAGCACAAACATTGTTGGTGATGTTAGATACTCTCAGAGCTCTCACCAGCACCTTTTCGCCAACCTGAAAAGTGACAGGCCTTCTTTTCCTGTTACGGTCCTGTCTTTGGACGTATTTCTCATTATTTCTTTGCAGCCTTCTCCGCACCAATTCCAAAACTTGTTGATATTCTCGGATGTTTGTATCTTCCCACGGCCTCTCTGGCAATATTCCTTTCATAACATATTCCGGGGTTTCTTTTATCACCGTGCTCGGATCGTATTTAAATATTTTTCTATTTCTGTTATTTTTCTGTCCCATCGATTATGTTGTCCATCTGTAGCAATACGAAGAAATTTTGTTACCTCTTGGATAAATCTTTCCGACAGATTGCTTCCGATGTATACTTGAAAATCAATTGTATCCAAGTCTTTCCAGTTGGTTCCAAAAACCCGCTGTCCTTCTATGTTGGTCATATTTACAATTTGGTTTGCGACTATGTCAGAATATTTTTATACAGTCGTAATAACAAATGTATAAATAGGTATTTACTTTTAAATGTACTCTAATTTAAAAGACAAGCATGCATTTAAATAGTTATTGTTTATTAGGTTTTTGATTTAATAAGAGAATTTATAAATTTCGAACCAACTTTAATTATGCATGACATGTTTTAAATATTTTTTCTAGTTTTAAATAGTAGAGACTAGCACTGATTTGGGTACTTGTTAGTGGGGACGTTTGTTCCAGGAGGTACGCTTCAAAGTTCACGACCCGAAAGCGCACAGCAAGGGCGGCACCCTCGAAAGCACCGTAAACGGCGGTAGAGGCGGCGACAGAGGGGGTGCCGGACCGGACGAAGAAGCGGGGGCTCCTATTCCCCAGCACATCATTCACCCCAACAAGGACATAAACAAACTGTACGGGATCACTCCTTCGGACATCGACAAATACTCCAGAATAGTGTTCCCGGTGTGCTTCGTGTGCTTCAATTTAATGTACTGGATCATATACCTACACATCTCCGATGTGGTCGCCGATGACCTGGTGCTACTCGAATCGGACAAATAAGCGCCGGCTCTTCTTCTAAATAAAAATATGCTTTTGATTACGGTTCATTTATTTCTATAAAAAGCTAGATTTTACGTTCAGAATTTAAATCTAAGTCCTACAATTCACTAAATACGTGTCCACAAATAAAACTTTTACATTTTAAATTAAATAAACAAATATAACGTCGGGCAACCAATATTAAAGATATTATAGTTGATTAATCTTACAAAAATCAAAATTTTATGTCACCGTAAATATTGCGAACTCTTTTATACCAAACATAATAACAGCGCATAATTGATTTTCCTTAATATCAGCGACATAAACGTCTGTTCAACTTACACGTAGGTTTACGCGATTAAATTCTTGAATATATGGAAACTCACAAATATTGATGACTATTAGAAGACTATTAGTATATAAGTATAGGAAAAAACATAAGTTGTATAAAACTTAAAACTAGTTGTTCAAATCAGAGGTCATATATATAATAATAATACATATATATATATATATATATATATATATATATATATATATATATATATATATATATATATATATATATATATATATATATATATCGGTAAACAGCGGACAAAAGGGAATAGAAAATATCAGGATTTAGATTGAAATTCTTGTGCTAAAAACAAACTACATACTTGAAATTAAGTCAACTAATTCATATTTACCTTAAATTGTTGCCAATATATAACTTGAAAAACTGCACATAAACATATAAAACTATATATTATACCTAACTAGCGTATACTCAATTTTTGACATAATATATGCACTGCTTTTAAAGCAAAATCAGTCAAATGTTCACAAACATTTACAAATAATGCTATATATACCACACAATGAAAAAATTCGTACAAATCAGTTAATAGTAATTCCAATTGCATATTACTTTAAACAATATCTACACGCCGTATTTCTATCGATATTTTTAATAAAGTAAGATTAAAAAGTAAACAGAAAGGTATAGTTGACTCGTATATACCCGTAATAGTATCAAGAGCATATTTTTAAATAAATAGCGACAGCAAAAAAGTGACGACATATTAAAAGAACTATGTGTTTTTTACTAACTCAGACTTTAGATTAGTGTTGAACTACTCATCAAAATATACACAAAACAGTCCCTTTACACATTCAAGAACTAAATGGTCAAAACATTGGTGATGTCAAATTTTCCTGAATGAAATGAAATGAAAATTCACAATATAATTTTATGTTTTATCACGTTAACTCTGGCACCAAAAGATACTGAGGGAGTGATAATGAGGGGATGACATGTTCTCGTCTTCTTTTGTGGTTGCAGGGAAAGTTTTTGTTGTTCCTGTATTAGGTCTTTACATAGAGTTTATTTTTAGTGCCTTTTTAATTTAACTTGTTTAGATTTATATAAAGATCGATTATTTATATTATTTATTAAATATTTACTATTAGAAGGTTTATTGTAATAATGTTGTTATATATGTGTTAAAAGATATATATGTATGATTAACAGTATTCCATTTATGTAAAAGGGCACAAAAATGACATGAAATGTATTTACAAAAAAATTAATCCTTAAGCAAGATAACGAATCAAATGTTTGGATTATTCAAAGACGTTTTATTTTACCGAATAAAAAGGAACATAAACAGGACGAAAAGAAAGTTTGTATTAAAACAAACATTTTTGACTGTGATACGAATAGATAACAATGAAATATTATAAGGACACATTCTCTCAAAGAAAGAAATATTTCCCAAAAATGTTTTATACTGAAATTTAACTACGGGTAGATATTATTAAACCAGATTTTAAAAGTTTGTTTGTTTAAATGAGAAATTGTTATAGTTGCTCTATCAATGTTCTAAATAAAGTAAAATGTAATATCGCCTAATTAATCATTTCATTAGTGCAAAATCCATTTGAATCTATAATAACATCCATAACAGAAACAATGAAAATCTAGAATGTTTTAAAATGCTTAGTCTTGCTTGTATTATAATATATTAACGTAGTTTATATATTATGTGTTCAAGACGGTTTATGTGGTAGGAGCACAATATGTCACTCTTCGTATTTAAATCGGTAAACACCTGCATACTATGGCTAAAAAAATTAATAAATTGTCTTCTTTCATGGCCATCAGAGTATAAGACACCTTTGTACACTGCCACTGGGAAAAAAATGTCAAAGATTTCTTGTTGATTTTTGTATGTAAGTTTATATACATCTACGCATGCCTGATGATAACAAACGAGGCTTAAATGGTCATAGTATACTGGTGTTTATCGTTTTAAATACGAAGACTGACAGATCGTGCTCCTAAGGTATATACTGTCTTAAATTCGCACACAAATATAATAGACGCAGAAAACTAACGAACACAGTGTTCGTAGTTCTCTGATAGACGTGAGTGCAAAACAATCGACTTAAAAGCAAAATTTGAGATTACACCTCCTGTTTTAATGTAAGAAGTATGAAAATAGTAATATGTAATGTGCAAATGATTACAGCTGAAAATAAAATAATCGAAAGATGGGCTGAATACTTTGAAAGTCTTCTAAATGTCCAGGTAGACGCGGATGGAAATAAAGCAAATTGTGAGTACCAAACGGCCGAGATAGAAGTACCCCCGCCAAGCCTGGAAGAAATTATCACGGCGATAGAAACCCTAAAAAATGACAAATCCCCGGGACTAGACAATATTGATGCAGAACTGATTAAAAAAGGAGGGCATGAACTTAGAACTAAAATACACCAATTAATGAAAGAAGCCTGAAAACAAGAAATAATGCCAAAAGAATGGAATGGTTGTATTATCGTGCCAATACATAAAAAAGGCAGAAAGGATACATGTGGCAACTACAGGGGAATCTCACTAATCGGTACTACGTATAAGATATTAGCTTCAGTTGTACTAAAACGATTACTGCCATATACAGAGGAAATTATTGGCGATTACCAATGCGGCTTTAGGCCTGAAGGATCAACAATCGACCAAATATTTACTATCAGACAAATGCTAGAAAAGTATTGGGAATATAATAAAGAAGTACACCAGATCTTCATAGATTTCAAACAAGCATATGATTTCATAGATCGCTTAAAACTGTGGAGTGCAATGATGGAGTTAGGCGTACCAAAGAAGCTGACCATGATTGCGAGAATGTGTGTCAACAATTCCTTTGCACAAATTAGAATAGGAGGCAAAACTTCAAAGGCTTTCGGCATAAGCACCAGGCTCAGACATGGAGACCCGCTGTTCCCATTACTATTTAACCTAGCATTGGAATACGCAATGCGAAAAATCTATACCAGAGTCAAACCAGACATAACTGCCAGAGGAGCAAAGATTATTCTCGCATTTGCAGATGATGTAGATGCAGTAGCACAGACAACACTGGAAGTTAAGGATATAGTATCGAACTTTGAAGAAGCAACACTAAGCGTAGGCCTGAAAATAAACGAAGAAAAAACTAAATACATGGTCGTATCAAAAAAGGAACACAGCGAATAAGACAAAACATTACCATAAACGATCATAATTTTGAGGTGGTCAAAGAATTCAAACACCTAGGAGCAACAATTACCAGTGAAAACACAGGAAAACGGGAGGTTGAAATACGAATACTGGCGGGGAATAAATCATTCTTTGCCATTCAACATCTAATGAGGTCAAAGATTCTCTCAAGGCGTGCCAAAATCTAAATATACAAAACCATAATACGACCAGCAGTGACATATGGAAGTGAAACATGGACATTGAGAAAGAAAGAAATCAATAAGCTATTAGTATGGGAACGCAAAATCCTGCGAATTATATATGGTCGTTGCAGGGACAGCGTGACAAATAAATGGAGGAGCAGATACAACAATGAAATAGAGACTCTCTCTGAAAGACTAGAAAAAGGTGGAAAGACGCAGTCAGGGAAGACCTGGAGAAGATGGAAGTAAGGCCATGGGAAATAATAGCACAGGATCGGAATCAATGGAAGGCAATAATAAACGCGGCAAAAATTCACGAAGAGTTGTAAAAGCCAATGATGATGATGATGAATGTGCAAATAATAACTTTATTATTGACTTTACAAAAACTGCTTTTGCCATATTTGGAAGACGCATTATAAAAAACAATATGCATTGCGAACAAAGTTTCGTAAATATTCATCATTAAAACAGACGCAAAAAAAATGTTATGGACAAAGAAATCATTACAACAAATTATAAAATAAATTTCTTTATTTTTCAGTATTTTATATTACCACCACTACTCCTAATAACATTTTTCAATGGATTTCGCATGGATCGACTGACTTTTCTAATAATTTCTTGAGACATTGCTTACTATTCATCATTAAGTGTAGCTCTCAATTTCAAAATGCTTCCTGGTGAATAATTTCTGTACTGGACCCTTTGTTTAAGCTCATCTCAAACAGGGTCTATTTGATTTAAGTTCGGGCTCAACGCAGGCAAATTTATAAAATGTAGGTATATTGATCTCAATCATATAAATTGTGGTGACTAGTACGGTACGGTATCGTGCATTATTTTGCATTTAAATAAAGACATCACCAATAAATCCCGCATAAGGAACCACCAATGCTTCCAAAATGTGTCTGATGTAACGATACGCCATTAAACCTCCACCAGGTACGAAAACCAACTTGGTTTTACCATACATGGATATGTCTGCTTAAAACATACAAGACTCGTATCCATTAGACACAGTTTCTTGTATACAACATTGGACAAATCGGTCTTCTGGCCTTGGATAGACTTGACGTCCCTTGTCGTTGTTGTGTAGGTAAAGCCTACTGTCGTCAGAGAACAATACCTGACTATAATAGTCGTCCTAATCCAGATGTTCGCGAGCAAATTCTAGTCGCCTTTGCTTCTGACCTGCAATTATCTTAAGACTCGTAGATACTTTTTGGTTCAGGTTAGCTTCCTTGTGTCTCTAGACTGTTTAAATACCGGTAACCCAAACTCGGACTCTCTGAGCTCTTCCTTAAAAT